GTGGTGCTGGGGATCGAACCGCGGTCCCTGTGCTTTGCCAAGCTTGTTTCAAGTAGGTGCTTTAGACCACTGAGCCATCTCTCCAGCCCCAGTGTACTCCTTATTATGTGTTTTCTTGAGATTTTTATGATTTGCATAGTCCTCTAGAATGGAGTCCACATGCTTCTTGGCGGGAAGATAAAAGAGCTGCTTCTGTCTGGTAATTGGGTCCCAGTCACCACCAAGCCACAGCTTTAGCTCTTCAGGGATCTCTACTTTAACTTCACCTCTGTTCCTACATGTTTCTTCATTTTCAAGAGCAGGATCAGCCCAGGCCCTCTTCTTCCGAGGAGGCCGAGGTGTCTCACTGTACTGCCACCATCTCCATTTCCAGGGGTGTTTTGTTTGTGCTTTTAAGTGTTCACTTCGACATTTTTCTGTCGCAGACCAGCTGTCTTCTTGCCTGCAGTGGCCCCTCTCACCTTCCTTCTGCACATGGCTCCTGACTGGCCTTCTGAAGGTCACGCTGCTTGTGCAGGTTGGTGTCCACGTACCTGAGCACCCTGCTTTCTGGAACCCACTCACCCCAATTTTATTCCCACCACTGTAGTGTATAAACAATTGTACTTGTTGACCCTTTATGGCAATCTTTACCACTTTGCTTCGTAAAGAAGAGGGCCAGGAAAGCACAGCACTCATTCACCCTCCTGGAACTTGGGCGCCATGTATAAGTGATTCGCCACCTCCTCCGCCCACCACCCCGACTACTGCGCTCTACTCTCTACCCCACCCAAGCTCGAGTCAGATGTGCTGTCAGGCATAGCCGCTCTATATCCTGGGCCTGATTTGCCAGTGCCCGCAAACGTCACAGCACCACAACCGTGCGACTGCCGCCAACCAACGGCCGCCCCAAGGTCTAGATTATTCAAGGGGGCTGTAAGTGTTGTTTTACTCCATCAGAAAAAAAAAAAAAATTAACACTAAGAATTAGTAAAAACTACCAATACATTGAAGGACACCTGTTGTGTGGACACATACACAATCTACTAGGAACCTGAGTGGTCCTGGCCCTGGGAATGGGCCCTTCTGTTCCCAGGGAAGCTATGGGGAAAGACAGCTATGTGGAAGGGCAGTGCCTTGCATACGGGTGCTTCTGCCCATCCAGAGTCTGCATCCTGCACAGGTTTATGCGAAGCGGTGACAAGTTCAGAAGTGACTGAGAACAAAACCCTTCATGCGTAGACTGTGGGCAGTCACAGCGGCTGGGCTGGGCTGCAGCGCAGTGGCAAGGCGCTTGCTTAGCCACCACGAGGCCTGGGCTGACTCTGATGCCACAAAAAGGAAACAACACAAAAACAGTGTGTTGTCAATCAAAATCTAAAACCCAAAGCCGTCCAACAACTGGGCAATAGGGAGAGCGGGAAGCTAATCCATTTATAATATAATGTGGAATAAGGAAATAAATCACTTCTAAAAGAAAAAGAATCAATTTGTTTACACTGCATCTTCTGTTTCCACATACCGGGAGTACATAAAGCCCTCTAATGCTTGCAGATTAGCTAATAACAGCTAATCTAACTCCAGGCCCTGCAAAGGCTGTAAGAAAGGGATGAATCTTCATTTAGTCATGTGAAGTAGCAACAGCAGGTAAAGCAAGACACAGAGAGGTTATGTAACTTGCTCAAGGTGCCCAGCTGCGAGAAGGCAGAACTGCACCTGGGCAGCCAGCTCAGGCGCTCCACAGGAGGGGCTGCAGTGCATCTCTGCGAAAGTCCCAGCCACTGAGGGCTCCACCGTGCTCCCCAAGTTCTCCATCACAACTACTCAACATCACACCTACCTGCTACGGTGTCATGAAAGCAACCAGGAAGATGCACAAACATATGCGTGGGACTGAGCCCCAGTAAAGCTTTACTGAAGCCAACAGGCAGGCTAGATGGCCCATCGGCCACAGTTTGCCGCCCTCTGATCAGGCTCACAGCAGACTCACACAACATTCAATCAACTGTGAGTCATGATGGTTTCCCTTCTGCTCACTGCCTCCACTAACCCAGAGCTAACTCTAAGTGGAAAAGCAGAAAGTAGGGATTCCGAGGGAAAAGGGAAGTCGGAGCAGCAGAGGGTGGCAGGTAACACATCCCTGGGCAAAAGCAAGGGAAGGGAGGCGAGGACACTTGGACAGGCCAGAGCCACAGCCAGCCGGGCCTTGTGCTGCTCCCACGCGAGCTGCTCTGGGTTCCTGTGCTGGTGAGTGATAAGACGGGAAACTAAAAACCAGGGGAAATTTTTTAAAATAATTTATTTAATTATTTGGTACAGGGTCTCACTACGCAGCTTGGACTCGTAGTGCTCCTCCTGCCTCAGCCTCCTCAGCACTGGGATTACAGGCATGCACCACCACACCCAGTCCAGTGGCCGGCTCAGCATGGGGCCAGCACAGCACGCAGTCCCGGGGAGCAAACCTGAGTCCCTGCGCTTGCCAGGCAGGCCCTTAGACCGTTGAGCCATCTCCCCAGGCCAGAGAAACTTTTAACATGTTTGAACACAGGCCAAACTATCGCCAAGAGGACAAGAAGCATTACTGATGTGGAATATAATTCTTTCCCCACCTTTTCTTCCCAAATGCGAATATGCAAAGAAAGAACTTAGTAAATAACAGCGTCCAAATACATGAATGGGAGCATGAGTACAAGTACAACGCTCCCACGGTCACCTCGGGGTAGCAGGGAGGGTTACAAGGGCTGTGGGCCCCTCCCCTCAGTCAGCGTGCAGCTGGAGGGGCAGCCTACTCCCAGCGCCCACTCGGGACTTGCATTGGTCAAAGTCTGGGTCTCACCCGCAGGAGTATGTGCAAGCTGGGTCGGCTGGTCCACGTTGACCACAGTGCCTGAGGAGCCCCACAGCCATGTGTGAAGTAGCTCCCTCCTCAGCCTGCAAGGGTCCGATTTGCCGTCAGAAAAGACAACCTCTACTTTTTTCTTTTGTATTTTGATAAACATTGAAGAAGCTGGAGCTATTAAATTTACCTTGGGAAACTTCAGAACTGGTTTACTTAGTGTTGTGGAATGTCTCACTGCTTTCAATACATGATTAGTAATGAAAAACCAAAAAACAAATACATGAATGTGTGAAGTATGAACACCAGCCCTGAATCTTTATTAGATAAGTGTGCTAAAAGACAAATACCCAATCCCCAGTTCCGCCACCAAAAAAAAAAAAAAAAAAAAAAGACAAACGCTTACCTAAGCCATCCTACTTGTCGCTTGTTAGGCTGTAGGGTTCTGCTCTCTATCTCTTGTGTACAGGCGAAAAGGGAATTCTAAGGTTTTCATATCCAAGCATTTAGCTGTGCCTGTAAGCACGTACCTTTGCGTCCAGCTCTGCGGGTCTAAGTTCCTCTCTATGGCAGCATTCTCAGCAGGTAACCCAAATGCATCCCACCCCATAGGGTGGATGACCTAGCACAAAGAAGAGACACATCAGCCATGGCAAACCACTATATCCATGCGTTCTCCTGCAGCATCTTTTCCCGTGGACACACGTTACCCCTCCCTGGGTGATCCCCATGTCTGTGTCAAGAGTGGTCTGAGATGTCAGCACAGAAGGAAATCTAGAAGGTTCCACATCAAAGTGCAGGCAGCAGTTATCTCTGAGGAAGCATTTTCATGGGCACATTTCACTTTCTCTTCCCTGTCTGCATTTTCCACAGTGAACCCAAACTGCTTTCCTGCAATTACAAAATGTTCTTTTCAATTTAAAAACTCTGTATATATAAAATTATAAGCTTTCAAAATACACCCACCATGTCGGGAGTCTCCAGTTAAGGAGCTGTGCTGTCCAAGATGGTGACCAACAGTCACCCAAGGCTATAGACATTTCAACTTAATGGAAATTAAATAAAACTAAAATTTGGCTCCTCAGTCTCACTAGTCACTTTCTAAAACAGCTACGTGCGGCTGGGGGCTCCTAGGCCAGGAACGCAGGTATAGACCATTCCCATGGTCACAAGGCCACTGGACTCGTGTCATGACTGAGGGCCACATGGGGGCTCCACGTTCATCCAAGAAGTCCTCTCAGCTTCTTCTCAGCTCTTTCTCACAAGCCCAAGTTCACCGTGCACCCCCGAGCCCTGCTCTTCTCCCCCTCCTGTAACCAGAGCGTCAGCTCTAGGAGGCCCGCTGCCCTTTTCTCCCTACAGGACGGGAACTCCCAGCCGCATGTGAGCAGCTGGAGATGCGACAGCAACCTGGGGAGAACACCCAAGAGCACAGCAGCGCAGCCTTTGAGGTGGGTGTGAGGAAACCTGTGGCCAAGCTGTTGGCTTACAGGGATTTCTAAACCACCCATACATTTCGCATGGGCTGCAAATCACCAGCTGTGCTTTGGCACAAGGAACGCTTCACGTGTAGTTGCCTCAGCTGTGGTGTGGGGTTGTGACAGAGCCACCTCACCAGATCCCCAGGAGGTGAGGTGAGTTCAGGGGAGAAAAGTGCTGCACAAAGTGCCTGCCAGGCAGTGAAGTGTGATACGGAGTGCTGGCCAGTGGCGGTGTCACAAGAGAAGCCTGCTTTCTCGTCACTTCCTCTAAGATATTCCCATTTTCCAAAGAACAAGGATCTCAAGATCTTCAAGGGCAAAGCATTGAGATCCCTCCTCCACCTCCACCCATCTCCTTTAGTTGACAGTTTAAGGAACTGTGGGACAAATTTCTATAAATGGAGTTACAGGGTAAAAGAGTGCGAAGTCCGAAGAGCTCTGGTGGGCTGAAGCAGAGCATCCCCAGAGCAACCATGGCCCACCATACTTCCCCACGTGGTGAACGCCAAGTGTGCTCCTGGCTGCAGGCCCGGCCCAGGGGCTAAGCACATGCGAGTACCCCCGGCCGTCTCTGCTGCAGCTCCGAGCACCTGCAATGCAGTTCCCAGCCTGGACTCATCTTGCAGTCTCTGCTGCCAGTCTGTGCTCTTACCTAGCAGGCAGACGGAAGACAAGCGAACCACTTCTGACAGCTGGGCCACGTGCAGCATAGTCAGACCTCCACCATGCACACTATCACGCTCCTGGGCATAGGCGTCTGGTGGAATAAGTCCACCCAATAAGGAGGACCGCCCATGGAAGCCCAGGGCCTTTGGACTCCCTTGGCTGTGACCAGGGAGTGCCAACAAAGGCATGCTCTGAGGGCTATGTGCTCTGTGACCTGAGGGTAAAGGCCCTCAACCTAGCCTTGTCCTTCAGACTCTGGACACAGAATGTGGCCCGACAGAAGCCACCAGAACTGCTGAGCACCATACACCACGACCTCTGCGGAGCAGCCAGCAGAGCTGGCACCCAACAGACAGCAGCGGGCAGCCCCTGAGGTCTGCTTCCTGCTGGGATGCACCAGCCGCTGCTGTCACTACCCTCCTAGTGTTTGGCATCTCACATCCCCAGGTCCCAGGCCAAGATTTCTGCCCCTGACTCTACGGCCACCCTGCACATGGTGGCTACAGGAAAGACACGAGAGCCAGTCCTGGGCATCCCTGAGGCCGGGGCACTCAGGACAGGCCTCTGCCAAGGGCGGAACCAGGCACTGGCACTTCTTACCCAAATCAAGTAGACCACAAAGCTCAATCAGTCGGCCATGCGGCCCTCTGCAGTACCAGGTGGCGAGCAGACTTCCTCCCCAAATAAGGACTGGCTCACACCAGGTGACTGATCCCAAAGCAGCCAGTGCTTTTGCCGTGCTGGCTGGACTTGGAGCAGGCCCTCGGCAGAGGGAAGGCATCTATGTGCTGGGTGTAAAGGGCCCAGACCCTGGTCACCCTGGGCTGGCCAAGGTTGCAGATTGGCCCTTGGGTGCAGGGGGTGGCAGCGCCTAGCCCTTGCCAGGCCTGTCTGAACCCAAGCTAGGTGCTGGGGAGGGAGGGGACTTTCTCCTTCGTCAGGAACCATAAGGGCTCTGGGTGGCTCTGCATGAGGGGTCCAAGGAGTCGGAGAAAGGCAAGCCTTGAAGGGCTTTAGTGCCCTGGGCCCAACTCCGGCAGCCTGCCTCCCACATTTCCTCAGATCCTGGGAGTTATCCTGAATTGGTAAAAGTTGATGAAACCCCCTTTCCTCTAGAGCTGATCTGAGCCAGTTTCACCCCTGGCAGGTGACAATCCCAACTAAAACAGACACCACCTAGGACACAGCTTTCTTTTGAGACCTTCTGTATTCTATCAAGCTTTGCAGTTCTTTTTCTTTTTCACTTTTAGGAGCTTAAAAAGAAAAAACAGTTTTGGATTACTAGAAAGTTCTGCGATGCCTTTGCAGCCAGCCCAAGGTCTGCTTCCGGCTGGGATGCGCCAGCCGGGCCTCCTCCCTGGCTGAAGAACGCACCTGCTGTGTAACCACTCCCAGGGAAGGGAGGCCTTCGGCCCACTTGGCGGCGGCGGCAGGACTGCCCAAGTGACACCAAGTCAACACTTCTGCCTGTTCACATTCTGCTAGGTGCTGTCTGTACTTTTAAATAAAGTCAATACAGGCACTGTCACCAAAAAAATCCAGCTGGATTTACGTAATACACTTATTCATTTCTATTTTTGTTTCTGGATGGAATTAACATGAAGAGATATTCTTAGTTCACATGTTATCCAAGCTGTCTATGAACATAAAGTTAGCAACATCTTAAAGTTCCTTAATATTTCAAATTCTTAGCAAAAGTTAGCAAAACAGATGCCTGCTCAAGGAGGAGGCGCACAGCACAGGCTACAGGGAGGCCTTGTCCTGCAGGAGCTCAGGGTCCTCCTGCCAAAGCCCGATCACTGCAGTGAGTGCTCCTGCTGTCACTGAGGAGGGAGGGTCCCCAGCTCCCCACCTTGGCCTCCCCTCAGCCCTGGCGACAAGGGCAGAGCCCACTTTCAGCCCAGAAGATGTTTTGCTCCTGAAACACAGCGATACTGACAAAAGGATCCCAAAATGTCCGAGCTTGACTCTGCCCCTGCACGGCAGGTCTGGCTTTGTGATGAAGTTGTGGTGGCCTGCCGGACTTGCGAACTTCTGCTGTCAGCCCCTCTAACATCTCAGTCTCTTGTGCCCTGTTCAGATCGATCACCTCCGTCCTGGACAGAGGGTGTGGTTTCCCCCTGGGCTGAGGTAGTGTGTGCCTGGCATGCACAGGTCAAGGGTGGGATTCCCTGCACTACAAGAAGACAAGACTGAAGCGCTTCCCTGTCCAGATTATCTCTAGGCAGGGTGGACCAGGCACGCACTGGAAGAACTCTCTGGTTTTAAAGCTCCTATCCCTTTCTATCACCGTAACTTGTTTTAATCTTTCCATAGTTAAGAAGAACCACCTATACAGATCCTGTGTGCTAGCTGGGCTCCGTACCCCACCCCAAAGCACCGGACGGATGTGCCGGGGCCCAACCGAGTGCTCTCACTTCCTAGGTGCTGACTTCTTGCCTTTTGAGTACATTCTGTAGCTTCCGATCATTTTTGCAGGGATGTGATTTAATCTTTCCATCTACTGAAGACATACTTTGAAATGCACGTTCTGTCAATGTGGAGTGATGGAAACATGACATCACGGAGAGCAGCAAAAGACTAAAATGATAATTTTAAAATAATAACGTAAAAATATTCAGACTGAATCAAGCAAAGGTCCCCTGTAGCTGGGGTCCACATAGCACTTACACATGCCCGCTGCACAGAGTCAGCTGGTGGACGGGCCAGGAGCTAGGCGCGGGAGGAGGAGGGGGAGCATTCCCTGGCCTGGCCCTCCCTTCTGCAGGAGGCCAGCTGGCCCACAGCCTCAGGCACAGGGAGATCAAGGGGTCAGCCTTCAGCCACACGAAGCAGAGCAGAGCTAGGAACACACCGGGCGGAACAATGGCCACAGACCAGTGAGGGCCACTCACAAGCTGTGAAGCCAGTCCCCAGGCGAGACCGCCACACTCCCCAGGAGGTCCTGGTAAGGGACAGGCATGGGAATCAGAGCTTCCTGTCCAGCTCCAGGCTGAGCCCTGATGCCTCAGAATCAGGCAGGAAAGCAAGCAGGTCCTGCCAGGGGTGCGGGGGAGAATGCAGTTCCAGAGAACAAAGCCGGGGCAGGACTCTGGAGGACAGGATGGACCTGGTGAATGCTGGGGTCACTTCGTAGGAGTGCTGCTGGGGTGCTACTGTGCTTGCGGGGGGGGGGGCGCTAAGGGGCCACAATCTAATCTATGTTGCATTACTCTTTTAGGGGAAGTAATATGGAATTTTGTGTGCAATTTAAAAATAAAGACTGTGTTCTTATGTTCCTCAAACTCAGCAGGTAAGAGTGGAGTTAAGGGGCCAAGAGGTGGGCCAGGAGCAGGTGGGGCAGCTGCAGGCACCTCCCGGAGTGCGAAGGGAGCAGCGCAAAGCTCCACAGAAGGGCCCGCTGCTTCCCTGCAAAGGCTGCTCTCTCCCCCCCCCGGCACCGGAGAGCAAAACTGTACATCTGAAACCAGCTCAG